GTGGGTTTATGGAGGTGGTGGGATGGTGCTCTGATGTGGTCTGAAGATAGCCAATGAGTTTGTTGATGTTGTGGCCTCTTAGGAAGGGCTCTGGTACAGGGCAAGTTCAGTTTCTTCCTAACCCCTATCTGGGGTCAGCTGGTAGGAGCTACAAAGTGATCAGCAGATGGTTTTTAATTGCACTGGAATTAAAGATGCCTGGGAGAGGCTAAACTACCAACTGAGCCTGACTGCCACTAGTGCCAGGCTTAAAGCTGCTTAGCAAAAGGTATGGAGCACTCTGAGGCCAGATGCTGCCTGTTTAAGGTTTGTGAACCTTTGAGAGATTTTAGGAAAGTCTGCAGCACAAGCCAAAAAGGCCATTTTTATGGAAAACCACTGGAAGCAACTTGGGTGAGCTCATCAGTTGGGTGGGGTAGGGTCTCAAGGAATCACTCAGGCAGGAATGATGGGGAAGTCATGTTGATGGAGACTAAGATATGGTATCTGCCTATGCCTGCAGGTATGGTGGAGGAGGGCTCAACAAAGGAACAATGGCTCTGCCAGTATCTCTGTCTGGGGAAAAGCTGCTCTTCTAACCAGAAGCCAGACAATTCATTTCCTCCTCATATGTCTCTGGAACTTGTTGTTCTGTTGGCATATAGTTGTTCATAATAGTTTCTTATAGTCTTTTGTATTTCTTTAGTGTCAGTTATTACTTCTCTTTCTTTTCTGCTTTTATTTGGGTCCTCTCTCTTTTGTTCTTGATGAGTCTGCATAAAGGTTTGTCAGTCTTGTTTATTTTTTCAAAGAACCAGCTCTTGGTTTTATTGATCTTTTGTATTGTGTATTTTTTTTTTTTAGACTCTATTTCATTTATTTCAGCTCTTATCTTTATTATTTCCTTCCTTCTACTCAATTTGGACTTTGTTTTTTGTTATTTTTCAAGTTAATTTAAGTGTAAAGTTAGATTTATTTGAACTTTTTCTTGTTTCTTGTGATAGGCTTGTCATGCTATAAATTTCCCTCATGTACTTCTTTCCCTGTGTCCCACAGATTTGGGGGTGTTGTGTTATCATTTTCATTTGTTTCAAGGTATCTTTTTCTTTCTTTCTTGATCTTATTATTAACCTATTCATTGTTTAGTAACATGTTATTTACCCTCCATGTCTTTGTGTGTTTTTCAGTTTTCTTTTTGTGACTGATTACAAGTTTTATAGCATTATGGTCAGAGAAGATGCTTGATATGATTTTATTTTTTTTACATTTATTGGGACCTCTTTTGCATCTTAACATGTGATCTATCCTAGAAAACATTCCTTGGGCACTTGAAAAGAATGTATATTCTGCTGCTTTGGGGTGAAATGCTCTGAAGATATCAATTAAATCCACTTATGTAGTATGTCATTTAAGGCCACCATTTCCTTTTTTATTTTCTGTGTGGAAGATCTATCCATTGATATCAATGGGGTGTTAAAATCCCCTACTATAACTGTATTACTGTCAATCTCTTTATGTCCATCAAGATTTGATTTATATTTTTAGGTGCTCCTATATTGAGTATATAAATGTTTACAAGGGTTATATCCTCTTGTTGGATTGTTCCCTTCATCATTATGTAGTGTCCTTCTTTGTCTCTTACTCTAGCCTTGGTTTTAAAGTCTATTTTGTCAGATATAAGTGTTGCTACCCCAGCCTTTTCATTTCTATTTGCATGAAATATCTCTTTTTATTCCTTTACTTTTAGTCTGTGTGTATCTTTCATTCTGAGGTGGTTCTCTTGAAGACAGCATATACATGGGTCTTATTTTCTAATCTATTCAGCTACATTATTTCTTTTTATTGGAGTATTTAAGCTATTTACATTTAAAGTGATTATTGATAGGTACATATTTATTGCAATTTTATTTTTTTGAACTATGTTCCCCCTTCCTCCTCCTCCTCCTGTTCCTTTTTCTTCTTCAAACAAGCCCTTTAACATTTCCTGTGAGACTGGTTTGGTGGAAACAAACTTCTTTAACTTTTTCTTGTCTGTAAAGTTCTTTATTTCCCCTTCAATTTTAAATGATAGCCTTACTGGGTAAAGTAGTCTTGGTTGCAGGCCCTTGCTTTTCATCACTTTGAATATTTCATGACAATCTCTTCTGACCTGAAATGTTTCTTTTGAGATATCAGCTGACAGTCTTATTGGAGCTCCCTTGTAAGTAACTAATAGCTTTTTTCTGGTTGTTTTTAAGATTCTCTCCTTGTCTTTAACCTTTGACATTTAAATTATGATGTGTCTTGGTGTGGGCCTCTTTGGGTCCATCTTCTTTGGAACTCTTTGTGCTTCCTGGACTTGTATGTTTATTTTCTTCACCAGGTTAGGGAAATTTTCAGTCATTATTTTTTCTACTAGGTTCTTGTTTCCTTGTTTTCTCTCCTCTCCTTTTGTTACTCCTATGATGTGGATGTTGTTTTGCTTCATGTTGTCCCAAAGGTCCCTTAAGTTTTCCTCATTTTAAAAAATTCTTTTGTTTTTTTCTGCTCTGATTGGGTGGTCTTTTCTACCTTGTCCTCCAAATCACTGATTCATTCTTCTGCTACATTGGGTCTATTGTTTATTCTACCAGTGTATTCTTTATTTCAGATATGACATTCTTCATTTCTGACTGGTCCTTTTTTATGGTTTCTATGTCCCTTTTCATGCTGTGGAGCATGTTTATAATCATTATTCTGAACTCCATATTTGATGTTGCTTACTTCCATTTCATTTAGCTTTTCTTCTGGAGAATTCTCTTGTTATTTCATTTTGGGCCTTTTTCTTTATCTCCCCACTTTAGCTGCTTCTTTGTGTTTGTACCTATGTATTAGGTAGACCTGCTATGACTCCTAGTCTTTGTAGGGTGGCCTTTGGTAGTAGGTGATCTGCAGGATGACCCAGTGGCACAGTCCCCCTGATCACCTGAGCTGGATGCTCTAAGAATGCCCCATGTGTGCATTAGGTGCACCCTCCTGCTGTAATTGATTCTTGATTGCTATTCATGAGTAGGGTCATCCCTCAGGCTGGCTGACTGTAGGGATCAACCTCAACTATGGTGTACAAGCTGCTATGTGGGTGCTGACTACATGAAGCAGAGTTTGCCTCAGCAGGGTCTGATGCCTGCTGAGATTTATTTTTGTATATGCCACTTATGAAGGTTGAGCCTTCTCTGATGCTGTCTACAGATGGCCACTGGGTGTGTTTCTTCTGGGGACATTTGGGAGAACCTTTGGTTCAGGCCAATGTCAGATGCTGCCTGTTACTGGCCTTGGGAAATCTGTTTGAAGCTCCAAAGTGATCTATAATTTGTGACTACCTGTGCTGAGCTGGATGTGAGTGGAAGAACAAAGCTGTACACTAAGATTGACTTTTACCAGCACCTGGCTCAGGGGAAGATCAGCGAAAGTCCCAAGGCACCCCAAGATCTACCTCTGCCTGCCAGCTGCCTGTTAGGCTTAGTCAAAGAAAAAACCTTTGGTGGTACTTGAGTTGCATGAGGTAGGTTCCTAGTGAGTCACCAGGTAGGGGCGAATGGTGTTCACCAGACTGATACAGGTTGAAACTTGGTGTCTGTGCCGAGTTTGAGGCTACTCAGCAAATGCCCCAGGGTATACCAAGTCTAGCTGCTACTTTCTGGGTCTTCCCATGCCTTTGTGGTGGGTTGGTGTCTCAACAAATCATCAAATTGAGGCCACAGAGTTTTTCAGGCTCAAACAGAATAAGATTTTACTGTTTGAGGGGAGATCTCTGCACCATTCATGCTTGCAAGGGAAAAATGACCCCTATCCTGGAGCCACACAACCCAGTCTTTCTCAAATTATGCCAGGAGCCCGATCTCAGCAGGGCAAGGCTGCTGGGAGTTGGATTTCCCATGAGAGGGATGTGCTGGTCAGCCTTGGGGGAAGGTGGAAGTAGTGGCCCTCGCCCCAGAGCCACATAACTCAGTCTGTCAGAGATTCTGCCTAGACCTCAGCAGGGTGGAGCCACCAGAAGTTAGGAGGGTGGGGCTGCCGCGGCCTGGATAGTGGGGCTAGAGGATTTCTTTTGAGGGAGAGGTGCTAGTCAGTTTTACGGGAAACTGGGGAGACTCGCCCTTGTCCCAAAGCTATACAACTCAATTACTGACACCCCTAGAGACTGCCCAGACCTCTACACCTTGGCCCAGGCAGCTGACCTCTCAGCAGGGTGCAAACTATGAAAGGTGGGGTGACAGGGAGTCCAGAGGGTGGGACTATTGCTTTCCCCAGGCTGATTCCATATGGAGAAGAGTGCTCACCCAAGAAAGGTGGCATCAGCAGTGTTGAACTTACACTGATTCTTCAGCTGTTCCTGGTTTGGAGCATGCCAGCTTTTGGACTGTAACTACATCATCAACTCTCCTGAGTTTCCAGTTTGTTAACTCATCCTGCTAATCTTCAGGCTTCTTAACCACTATAAATTGTGCAAAATAATTTCTTATAATAAACCTCCTAAATACACATTATTCCTTACATATTCATATATATTTGATATACATATATTTTTATTGGTTCTATTTCTCTGGGGAACCCTGACTAATACAGAAGCTCTGATTTTAAACTTACCCAAGGCAAAAAAATAACTTGTTCTAAAATGTGCCTTTTAAAAAAAATTCAGTTAAGACATTGCAAAATTCAAGTCATTACTCCCTGAATGTGTTGTTTATTAAGTGAGAATATTAATATCCAGTACACAAAGGTATTAGGGGCTCAAATTAGATGACATATGATAAAGCATTGGGTAAACTGCTAACAAATCTTTCGTATGAATTATAACTTTTATCTAAAGGACCACATGCATGGCGATGGCCTTAGAAGAAAGATCCCACTTAAATGACTATAATACTTGAAAAGTGGAAGACTACCACCTCCCACAAGCACCCTATAAATAACACACTATGTACATCAACACTACACACACATATGCACACAAGCACTGACACATATACACTTGTTTGGGGGAAAAATAATAAAACTTATTGTAGAACTGTTTAACATTTTTATTGTGTAGACTTATAACCTTTACAGGATACAAAAGTGTAAAATATATCAGTAAGCATATAAAACCTCAGCAATCTTTTGGACCAGCTCTTGATTTGCACAAGAAACTAAGCATATATGTAGAACAGACATGTCTTGGGATACACAGTTTACAGATTGAATCACAAAGAATTTCTCAAGTGATCTTCCTCATGTAAAGATAAAAATATCTTTACACTTAAAAAGTATGCAGTATAGTACATTTTCAGTTATGTATACAGATTAGAAAAGTAAAACTATGTTTATGCCAGTGTCTGTTTTAAATGCAAAAGATCAAAGTAGGTAACAAGTTGGTAAGTAAAGTGTCAGGAAAACTGGAAGAGGCAAAAACAAACAAAAAAACCATCAAGCAGATTCCCAACAAGTGTATGAAACTAAAAGCAAAAGCATAACAACGTTAAAAATAAATTTCCCAAGGGCAGAATCTTAAGAGCAGGAGGAATAAAAAGCTTTTAGATGTACCAGGCAGCTTTCTGTATGACTCAGGTTTACAGGTAACATTCCTCAGTTTGAGTTTAGAAGAATTTGAATTTATTCCAGCAGAGCTGTCTCAGTCTTTAACTATTGCCTTCTTCCCCATCTTTTCTCTGAGCAAAGTGATGCTTGGATTAGGTCCAAAGCTCCTGGCAGGGAGAGAGGCCATGTGTCACAGCATAACAGATGGTTGCAAGTGCTTTATTCTGAAGGGGTCACATTTGCAACAACTCTGACAGTCTCACACAACGGCCTCCATTTTATAAGCCTCTCCCCAGAGGCCCACTGATCAGCTGAAAAGGGAACTCAGTGTTCAGCCACTAAAACACCCTGGTGATGGATTAGTTTGGAGTCAGAAAAGGTGATTATTCTTGAAAATAAACGAAGCTGAATAGACATGCTGACCTCAATCAGCTGATGAGGGGCAGGATAAGCTGGCTTCCACTCTTGCCAGTCCAGATAGGACTCAGGCCCATTTGTCCACCTTAATTCATTTCGTGGGGCTGATGTGGACCATACTTGACATGGATAAAGATGTTGTGTGATCAAGTGCAGACATGAGCTTCATCCAACTCTGTTCTCAGAGTCAGAAACAAGTGTGGAGAAGTAAGTAATGGATTTTCTAATTTTGGTCTCCACGGAGGTTGCTGACCTAATGAAAATTGACCAGCTGGAGTCCATTTGAGAAGGAAAATATGATGATCAGGAAGGCACTTAAGCCTCATTATCTATGTAACAAATATTCAGGCACAGAAAGTATCACAGGTTAAAATTTCAAGAAGGGTAAGGCATTAAATTGTGTGAATGCAGAGTATGCTTTCTACTTTGATAAAGGTCACTAGATTCCACTGGATCGTTAAAATGAATGGGAGCAACCCACTAACACTTCAGATGGTGAGAGAAGAATTTGTTTAAAACCAGCCACATACCTGTACAATCAATGGCCATACCCTGGCATTCTTCCCTTACCATAAAATTATCAACATTTTAAAATAGGCAGTTGAGGTTGCAGGCACTTCATATTTCTCTCAAAATATCTTTCAAGAATAGGTTAATAACTCAGCCAATAAAACAATGACCCACATGCAAGTAAAAATGTAAGGAAAACATTTTAAATGGGTTTAAAAAATTCAGACCACCCAAAAAATAGATGAAATAGCTTAGAAGAGACAAATAATAGTTATGAAAACTAAGAGAGTGATTTCTTTGTTATGAACCAAGAAAATTCACTCATATATTGTTGCTGTACTAGCAACTTAAAACTTGATATTGGCATCAAGGAAATTAAAAGGAAAAAAAGAATCAGGTATACTTCTATCCTTGAAATGTCATTATATTTCTTTCTGTACGTTTATGCGGACATTGCTGAATATTTTGCCAAAAGCCTCAAATAGTGGGTCAAAGAGGGTGTGGATGCAGATGGAATAGATACGGCTGATGCACTGAATCTCAATCAGGAAACTCTTAATGTATGGTACAACTACCCAGATGTGCACAAAAGAAACAATGGCAAAGTAAATCCCCCAGATAAGCGCCATTGGGATGCCAAAGAGGGCAGACAGCAAGCGGTAAAACCAATACTTGGTCACAGTGAAGGTGGTGAAGCTAGCCTTCCAGATGCCGTCAAAACTGTGTATCCCTTCTGGTTCTGCAATCACATCTTCGAAGTCAATCTAAAAGGAAGAAGGAATAGTATGTAAGCTTGAAATAGTGGAAAAAAGAAAAAAAACCCTACTGAGCATCCATAAATATACATTAGCTTTTATGTACAGTGAGATGCTTGAAGGTACTCAGCAGCAGCAGCATCACTTCAAGCTTGTTGGAAAAACAGATATTTGGGATCTGCCCAGATCTTGTTGCATCTCTGGGGTGGATTCCAGGAGGACTTTTAACATTTTCTTCAGGTATTTCTTTACTATGTGAAAGGTTGAGAACCACTGCTCTAGGGGAAACCAAATGGATATTATAAAATTCCTGCCTTCAAGTAAAACCTAGCAACATGGATAAGTATGCAAGGCACTCAGAAAATTACACTACTTAAGTTAACTTTACTCAGACAACTATGCAAACAATATTAAGGTGTAGTTAGTTAATTGATTGACTTTTTGAACACTCCACTATTAGAATTTCTTCAGTAAATTAGATCATTGTGAGGACTCAAGAAATCTTCATGGGGTGGTGGGTCTTGATCAGGGCTTGGAAAATGGGCTATGATTTGGAGAGGAAGGAAGAAGGGACCTTGGAAATGGTGTGAGCAAGAACCCAGGAACAAGGAAGGATAATACAGTGAGTGTCACAAGCAGATAGACCTGTATGGCCACTGCTGGAAAGGCCAGACTGTTGAGGCCAGACTCAATATTTTTTATTTACAGTGGGGGTAGGAAGTCTATTGAAGATGTTGAAGAGAAAGAATGCAGCCTGCAGCCACAATCAGTGCAGTCACTTATCAAGATTAAGTTGATAGCAGTGTGGAGGCTGAGGAAAAGGGAAAAGAGACTCAAGGCAGAGAGATTGTTGCTGTATCCCGAGTTTGAGATGGTAGGGCCAAAACTGGAATAGTGGCCATGGAGAAAAGAAAAGGAAAAAAAAAAAAGAATGAATTTTAGGAATGCAAAAGGAAGAATCCACAGGACTTGGTTACCTCAAGGTTGGGATAGAGAAAAGCCTAAATGAGCTTTGAGCTTTTAATTTGCCTTCTAGGGAGAACAGAGGTGACATTAACATCAAGAAGAAAGTTAGAAAGGAAGGCAGTTAAAAAAATGTTAAGAGGGAGCTTCATTTTTTAACTATATGTACTTTACTTGACAGATAAGGAAATAATAAAGTTGAAGGACAGATGTAAGTATCAGTGGTCCACATCAAATAAATCATGTAGTAGTCCTTTTTGGTGACCACTAGGTAGTAATCAAATTAGTTTGCAGTCACATAACATTTAAGAGTTACCAAATGCTATTACATGCATTGTTTCCATGTGATCTGGGGTTTCAAACCAATCTGGAAAGGTAAGTTGTCATTTTACAAATGTGGGGCCAGAATGCAAACATGGCCCCTTTCCCAGTAGCTTTCTCTCCCGCAGTACATGTTCATCTACACAATTAATTCTCAAGAGCTTTTATCCCTGTGGAGGAATTTATATAGACAAAAACTGAAGCACTGGGTAAAACAATTACTCCCCAAAGTGGGACAGAGCCAGCTCTACTGCTTGGTGTTCGCAGATATAAAGGAGATCTAATGTAGATCCTCAAACAAGTTGATTACTGCTAGCAGCAATACAGCCACGCTCAGGATTCGGTGATTCCATGGAGCCTCTCAGTTCCAAGGAACCACCTTGCTGTCAACACAATAAAACATCTTTTGGAAAAAGTTCATAATGCTTATCAATAGTTACAGTATGTTTTCTATAACACCCTGTTTCTTGATCTCTTGTCCAATGTCCTAATAATGTGATATGTAAAAATGGTATGTCCACAATTATGTAAATGAACTTATAGACTTATTATCATTCTAATTTTTTTCTTTGCTCATTTAGATCTAGACTCAGAACTAAACATTAACTTGTGTTTTTAAAATGTTGTACAAAATATGTGGTAAGTCAGATCAATCATTTAATGAAGTTTCTGTGCAATTTACTTAATTGCCTACTATGGAGTTTTGTTCTAACACTGCATTTTCCCAAAGCTATTAAAAATAAATGCCTGCTGTTTTCCTTCATTGAACTGCAAGATACAGAAATAATTTTATTTTTAAAATACAACCTTGTTTTGTAAGAGGATTTGGTGAAGTCAAAATTAATACATTAGAGCAAGCATCTTAATTTGCGTCAAAAGATGGTCCATGAATGCTCTGAAATGGGTATATATGTTTTGAGTGTACAATGTACAAAGCACATTTCTTTTGTTTGAAAATAAAGAATCTATTACCAATGGAGTTTTGGAAGGATTTTCCTGAAGCAAAGGGTTCCTATCTCTTTACAGAATAGACTTTAAGCACATTTGCCTTGAGATTCTTTTCCAAGGGAAGAGAAGTCACAAACATTTGTTGACTGGCTGTTATGATCAGACACTCTTCTCATTTAACTCACAGAAACTTGGCAATATATTATTTCTATTTTATAGAATGTGAAGTTCAAAATGTTAAATTGTCCAGGTAAATAAGAAGTGGATTTGAGTTTTGAATCTGGTCTGAAAGATATAGATGCTTTCTTCAATACCATATTGTTTTAAAAAAAAATTTTTTTTAATTTTCTTGAAGGCAAATATCTCACAATTAAAAGGCACATTAAAAATGTTTGCTGAATTGAACCCTTTTGGTAACTAAGAATTTCCACAGCAGGGTGCTTGAGGACAGCATCACGACATGGTCATATACACCGTTGACTATTAGTGGAGATCTACGAACATATGCCCGTGTATAAGATTTCTTGATAATAACTTTATTTTTCTAAGCATAAATATAAATGCTGTTTTCAATGAAAATAATGGAAATTCTTAAGCTTTTAGTTGCTTAGAAAATTTCAAGATGGCTGCTTTTTCAGTGTTTTCTAGAAACTGCCAGTGAGCATGATTTATTCTCAACTATCCAAGGGAATTTAGAGCAGGTCTCCAGGGGTGGACAGCAACATGACAAAAATAACAGGTTATATAAATACATTCAGTTAGTTGTTGCTTTAGTCTTGAAAATATAAGGTGGCTTAAGAGAACAGCCAATTAGATGCAGCTGAGAAAAGAAAGCAAGGCACGTGAAGAAAACAGTGGAGCCAGAAATAAAGTTTAGTTTCTCTCTACTTCCATTTCTGCAACAGGAATAGTAATAGGTTTTTGTGAAGGGTACATGAGATAATTTATGTAAAGTGCTTAGCATGGAGTTAGAGCATTGCTATACAGTAAATGCTCAATATGTAGTAGCATTAAAAAATTCCTTGCTCTGGGTGACTAAGATTGTCTGGGTGACAACTGTAGTAAGAGAAACTACCAGCTGCAAAGTACATAGTAGCTATGAATTCAAACCCCACCAGGGGCTCAAAAGAATTAATTTCCATTTGTAATGATCTTTACCACAGCCTTCTAAAATGAACTCCAATATCCCCATTATACAGATGGGGATGCAGTGGGAGGGTAAGAAATTACTCAAGGTCACCCAAATGCTAAGTAGCAAGGCTGGAACTTGTCCTACTTAAAGTCTGATGTATTACATATTCCCAGGGTGACAAGCCCTTTATAGTATTCTTATTCAATTAATTCCTAAAACATTCACATTTTGATTATTAAAGGTATTAGTCTTGTTGACATTTCCATTTTAGGTTAGGACATCTAGTAACTAGGATGCTTTCCATTTTGGGGACTGACTGTATTTTCATGGCCCTGCACAGTATGTTCTCACAATCCTGGGCACCCAGCCAAGGACTTTCACTCTAACTGGCAGATAAGGAAACTGAGGCACAGAACAATTAAAATGGGCCAGACATTCTCAAGGTCCCAAGTGAATCAGTGGAAAAGCTGAGATTAACACTGTAACTTCCTGATTCCCAGGCCTAGGTCCAGCCCTGCTCCATACAACTTCCCTAGGAACTTAATCTCTCTCTCACATCCCTTTTCCACCTATCCCATTCATATCTCTAAGTCTCATGTAAGTCTCTCATTGCCTTCTAAGAGACAATGACTTGAAAGGTATCTTTGTGTGAAGTTAGGAGAAATGTCCTTTTCACAACATGAACATGGACATTTCTGTATATCTATCCAGGGTGAAAAAAACAGGAGGGAATTATAAAATAAAATGCCCTTATTGTATCTTTTGACATATATTGATAATTCACTGAACCCAACAAAGTTCTGCTAGTAATCAGTCATTGCATTTAAACGCAGTTCAAAATTCCATATCAATTTAAGTATAGTGGCTTCAGCAGATTCATAAATATTTCAAGCTGAAGGGATCCTTAAAGAAATGGAGTCTCATTTGAGATAGAAGAATTGATGGCCAAAGCTGTCAGATGACTGAATCAAGGATATCTTCCCATTTAAAGGCAGACATAGGACTGGAATTCAGGCTTAGGAACTGTCTTGGGCAATTCCACCACGGCTTCGGCTACCACCACACATCTTCAATCAGCCTGGCTGCTACATTCCACAGCAAATGCAAACAGCAACTAGACTTGCTTGCATCTGAACTTCAACACCATCTTGCTCTCAAAGGGCCCTGCAGGTCTGTTGTTCAATGGATGATAGTGTCTCTCTCTGACAATCCCCAATGTGCTCATGGCTCCCGTGCATCATTGGTTTAATTATTCCTCATCAAAGCTGTCACTCTGGAGTTCTATTTGTTCAGGGACTGACTTCTCTTATGCCTTACAGGAGGCAGGTCCTTGCTGGACCAGAACTTTACCTGCTCACTTAGATTTGAACCAAAACAGGAATTAGAGATTTGCTTTTTTAAAGAAAATACCCCCAAATAAACAAACAAAAGCACAAGAAGTGCGTGTGTCATTTAGTTTCTTAGAATGGGATCCCTCAGATGAGGTTGAGCTACTGCTCCAAGAACTGATTTTCTGTTCTGTAGTCTATGGAACAAGTTGTCCTTCTGGCAAGAATCATTATGTAGATTTCAAGACCAAAGACATAAATGTGCTTTAGTGATATGTCTGTGTCTTAATAGATGCTTTATAAGGAGTCAACAGTTT